GGAGCCCGGCGCCGTCGCAGGCTCGCTTTCCGGCGGGTGCGCGGGGCTCCTGGCTCCTCTCGCCATCCTCCAGTACCTCAGGGCGTCTCTGGTCTCCTAACTCCCTGGCGGCTAGTCTGTGGCAAGACAGCGGGGCCGGTCCCGGTTCTAGCCTGACCCGCGAGGTGACCTTGGTCGAGTCCCCTGTCGCGCCGAGCCGTGGCGTCCGTCTGTGGCGCATGCCTGTCAGGGACTCGGCTCCCGAGCGGTTGGCGACACAGACCTAGAGCGGCCCCACAGGCTGCCCCGGGGCAGGGGGAGCGCCGGGCCGCCGAGGGCGGTGGGGAAAGCTCGGCCGGTGGGAGATGCCCCTACACGTGAAGTGGCCGTTCCCTGCGGTACCGCCGCTCACCTGGACCCTGGCCAGCAGCGTCGTCATGGGCCTTGTGGGCACCTACAGCTGCTTCTGGACTAGTGAGTGGGCCCAAACCCGAGGCAGGGTCGGCTACGGGTCTCCATGCCCAGCCAGAATTAGGGTTGGGGGTTGTGGGCGCTGGCAGGGGCTAGCTTGGATGGGGGGAATCCTGGCTCCCGGGAGAAGGAGGCCAAGACCCCCATACTCCCCCTCTCCCTCCAGAGTTCATGAACCACCTCACTGTCCACAACAAGGAGGTGCTGTATGAGCTCATCGAGAACCGAGGCCCAGCCACGCCCCTCATCACGGTCTCCAATCACCAGTCCTGCATGGATGATCCTCATCTTTGGGGTACATGGACCAGTGTGCTGGGCACAGGGCGGCAAAGAGAGAACCTGGGACAGGGCCAAACCAAAGCAGAACAGACGCGCTTCTCACTGGGCTTTTTATATAACCGTGGGACTCCTGTTTCGCGGGGGGTTCTGCCCCAGGGATGAAAATTTGATTTGTGGTCCCTTCAGCATCCTCTTAGAGAATGTGATTTGGAGAGGGCCTCAGAAATTTGGAGGGAATGAAGAAGTGAGGAAATGGCCGCAGGACAAGGTCTGACAGCTTCTTTACTCTCATGTGTCAGGCCGGTGGAACTCTCCATACTCTAAACCGCTGAAGGTTCCACAGAGCCTTGGGAACAAATCTGAGGACCGTAGGGTGTCCTGCCAAGGAAGCTCTAGGCTAGGGGCAGGAACACCTGTGTCCTGGTTCCAGGTTTGCCCCAGGCTGGGTTTTGAACCTCCAACCATGCTCTTTGGGAGCCCAGTTCCCCACGTAGAAGTTCCTTCTCCACTGACTTCACAGGGAGTTGCATGGCACCAGTAACCCAGATGGCTGGGTACAGGGGTGCCCAGGGCTTCCCCTGCTGAACTTAGACGGTTAGACTATTGTAGAGCTCATGGGGAGCCATGTGGTCTAAACAGAGCCTTTCAGAGCTCACTCTGGCCACTGGGCAGAGAATGGCCTGTAGGGTGCCATGGGCAGATCCCAAGACACCAGGAAGGAGGCGTTAGAGCCATCCAGTAGCCTGGACTAGGGTGGTGGCCGTGACAATGGAGGAGAAGGGGTGGAAGAATAGGTAGCATCAAAATATATCAGGGAAGTAGGCAGACCAGATGTGGAGGGGATGGGAGAGAGGGAGGAGCCAGGGAGCACTTGGGGGTCCACCCCAAGGGTCTGTAAGATGCCACTTTGGGCCATAGGGAAATGGTGATGCTACTGTCTTTGTCCCTCATTCACTGAAACGATGACAGAAAAGACTCCCTTAGGTCCAAGGTAAGTTGAGGCATGAAGGTTTTCCTCTCCTTCTCTAGGGATCCTGAAACTCCGCCACATCTGGAACCTGAAGTTGATGCGTTGGTGAGGAGGAATGGTCCCCTCACAGTGGGCCCAGCAGGCCTCACCCATCTCTGCCCAGATTTGCCCTCCTCCTCCTGCTCTGCCCAGGAGGCGGCATCCAGCAGTCCAGGCAGGGCATAGGGTGGGGCCCCGCAGGCCCTCCTGTGCCTCCATCCTGCATTTCTGAGGATGCCAGGCATCACGCAGCAGGGAGGGCAGGGTGCAGGGAAGGCAGGGATGATTGGGTCTTTATCCACTCCAGGACCCCCGCGGCCGCAGACATCTGTTTCACCAAGGAGCTGCACTCCCACTTCTTCAGCTTGGGCAAGTGTGTGCCCGTGTGCCGAGGTGCGCTGCTCTTCTGGGAGGGGCCGGTGGGCCAGTGGGTACAGGGAGGTGCTTCTGGGAGCTGCTCTGGCCTCCCTTGGGGCAGGGAGACTGGTGGCCAGTGCCTCTGGCTTGGCAGCACTGGGAATAGAGGGACCCAAGTGGGACAGGCAGCCTGGGAGCAAGGGGAGCTGGGGCTGTTGCCTCACCAGCTCCATTGTGTGGCAGGAGAGGTGGCACTCACTACTCTGGGTGATGCCTTCTTGGAGAGCACTCAGTTCTCTGCGAGTGCCCAAGGAGTGTGAGACCCTGGGGCTCTGGCGTTAGAAGTCAAGCAGGCATTACCCACAGTTCCTTTCCTGGAGGATGTTGCTAAGAGACTTACTGATGGCAGTGTGATGTCATTGGTCTGTGATGGCGGTGGCATGTGCTGGCAGCTGCAGGGCTGGGGAGAACAAACACGCTTGTGGGGCAAGGGGTGAAGTCAAGTGACTACTCAGCCTGTCTCGAGAGCCTCAGGAGGTAGGGGCTGTTTTGATCCCCATTCTCCAGGTAAGGGGGCTCAGAGGGATTAAGACGCTGGCCCAAGGTCACAGGGCAAGGGGTAGCAAAGCCAGGATTCAAAGCCAGGTTGCTTTTTCCTGTGTGGAAGTAGGATTTTTCCAGACAGAGTATGAAAGTAGAGGTGCCCTAGACATGGAAAGCACATAGCAGGCACTGGAGAGGTAAGTGATAAAGGTAGAAAATGTGAGTTGCAGGCTGAATTTGAAGGTTCTGGAATACTCATCTTAAGAATTTGGGGCTCTCCTTTCTTGTCAGGGTAGTGACATGCTTTCTTGTCTGTGATTCAGAGAGAGAGCACCCTGGCTGCAGCTTGGCTGACTGACAGGAGCAGGGCGGAGTGGAGGCAGGGAGCCTGGTTAGGGACTATCGCTGGGCCTCCGGGGCCCAGAGAGGGGAGAGCCAGAGAGGGGGACTGGTTTAAGATGTGCTCTGGAGGCAGAGTTGACAGGACTTGGTGACAGATTGGGTGTAGGAGGGGGCGAGGAAAAGTAAACTTAAAGATGACACTAGGTGACATCTGGGGACAGTGAGCCACTGGGAGGATGGGACTAGGGGAAAGCAGTATGGGGGATGCAAGGGGAGGTGAATCTCATTTTGCACGCACTTCATCTGAGGAGTGGAGCAGGCCTAGAGACAGTGGGCTGCGCAGTTCTGGAACTCAAAAGAATGGTTGAGAACAAAGCTACTGGGGACTCAACGAAAAATGAAGTGACAGGCATAGAAGGAGATTGTAGAGGGGGAGAGTGGGCAGAGAGCAGGGGCCCAGGGCAGCACCTCAGAGCACAGGACCAACAAACCACCAAGGCAGCAGAGAGCTGTGGCCCGAGAAGAAGGAAGCAAAGCAGGCCTTTTGGAACTGTGGAAGCCTCCAGCGACCAGGGAGAAGCCATTTCCTTGGACTGACGGCCTTTGGGGTGGGGTGGCCACACCTCCCAGAGGTTCCCTTGTGAGGAAGAAGAAAGAAGAGGAAGTAAGGGTATTAGATGGTCAAGGGAAGGTTTCTTATTTCTGGTAGGTGGAGGTAAAACTGGGTTCTGGTCGTCATGGGTTTTGTCCAGCAAAAGTCCCACTGCGGAAGAACGAGATTACTCAAGACTTTACCATGTCAAGAGAGTGAGAGGGAGCCGGAGACTGATTCCCTGAGCTCCTCCAAAGCTCTTGTATTTATTGAGAATAGTCAAAGAATCAGAGTGAAATATGTCATAGGACTGAGTAAGGGGCATGGTGTACGTGCAGGGATGCTGGTCAGCAGTTTCAGTTCGGGAAAAACAGAAACATTATAATCTTAATTTATACTTAGAGAGAAGGTTACAATATCGATAGTACAAATGGTTATTTTAAACCTCAATCATGAGCAAGGTTACAGTGTTCCAAATAACTGATAATGAAAACCCAGAGCACCGCGGAGTCTCCATACTATGGTCAGAAATCGTCTAAGCACGTGAAGCAGCCCCGCTGTCCCCAGCTGAGGGCTCAGCCACAGTCTTCTGTGAGCAGAAGTGGCCTGCACTATCCACCTGTGCCTGGTAAGTGAAGCACGTCCTGCCGGTTAGGGCGAGGGACGAGCTATGGTTTTCCATAAGCACAAGCAGCCCTGAGTCTATGACCTCGAACTAAGCAAAGCGAGCAAAGCATGTCTGTGCCTTTCATGGCGAGGAGACAGTTTGTGGCAGATTCCTGCTGGCACGGCAGCTTCATGGCAGCTGAGCGAAGTTCCACAGAGAAGGTGTTAGAAGGTGGTGGCTGGTACTGAGAGTTCAGTCTTTTATGCTTTTGGACATTTTTCTTTGGAGGAGCAGTATAATGACAAATATAGAAAGCATGGGTTTTGATTATACATTTCTTACACCCTTATATAAAGGTGAGAATACATAAAGGTGAGAATATGATCTGGCAAAAGCAATTATTTCAGTGTCAAACTTTGTTAACCCAAGTTTGTCTCCCACATAAAACATGGTAAAATCCAAAACAAAACCTCAAATAATTAACAAGAGTTTTAATGAAAAGCTGCAGTGCCAGCCCGTCCAGCCCCTCAGACCTCCTTACTCCACAGAGACGGCTGCCGGGAACACTTCGCTTCCCGCTGCTTTTGGGGGCTACTTCATTTCTCTAAAACACAAGCAGAGGCTCCAGCATGCTGGCTAGTGAAAGCCGTTGTGTGTTGTGCTCTGCTCTGAGAAGTGCAACTCTGCTCTTGTGCCCCTGTCCCTGAGTCTCAGTTCCTCCTTTCTGCAACCTCAGAGGCCTTCCATGTCCACATCTAGTCTCATTCTTTCTGACCTGCATCTAAGTTTTATTGTACAATAAAAACAGAAAGCAAAATCTTCATCCTCAGCGCCTTCCAGTGAAAGAAAGTGGACAGGGACAAGCTGTTTCTCAAATGCTTGTGTTGTGCAGCAAAGATCTCACAGCTAGTGTTGAAGCAAAGGAAGTACCTGGTGCACTTTGCTCCTGTGTTCCAAAAGCCTCCCTTTTCCCCCCAGGCACAGGCCTTGTGATATGACATGAAGTATCAAAGTGATTGCGTACTAGCTAAGCAGCAGAGCGAAAATAGCATTTGCAAAAGCTGAGCACCGTGAGGTGCTGCTGTCAGCGCACAGCTGTAGTAGTTTTAAATTTCGGTTTCAAGCTGGATGACTCAGGTGCAGCAGTGGGTTTTTGTAGAGAAGGAGCCTGCACCTCTGAAACTCACCCCTATGAGGTAATGTGATCCCAAGTAGGGGACCCTGTGCTCTCCCTCACAATGCCCTAAGAAACTGTCGTGGGTGGTGACTCCCCAGTGCCAGCCTCTGACAGAGTTGCTGGGCCAGGTTCCCATTTGGGTTGGGTTGAGAATCCTGAACACATATCTAACACCTTCCAAAAAGACTTGGCCTTGCAGAGAATAGGTTGAAAGTCCATTTCTTAGTGCCTTGGCCCAAGATAGTCCCAATGTCTGCCTGTCTGTCCATCTGTCTCTCTCCCTCTTTGTGGTATGGCTGTCTACTCCTTACCTGATAAGGATATTTACCCTCCTTCTTCAGCCCCCTCTTCTCTGTCTCTGCCCACTATTCAGACAAGGTTGATGAGATTCTTACTGCGTGTGGGCACAGGTTGTCCCCACGTGACTTCAAGTTGCAAGCCAGCATGCAGCATTAGGCATTGGTGTCTGTGTTGTTGCTGACTTCTAGGCCACCTGGGTCATGTCATGGTCTCAGGGCATTTCCAAGGCGAGTGTTGCTAGCACTGGGGGCAGCTCGACCCCACTTTTTTCAAGACTAGCAAGTTTGAGTTTTCCCAACTCTCAATGACACTTTGTGTTCCAGCAAATGTTCTCCCTTTCCCAAGAGGCCTCACAAAGGGAGAGTCTGGTTTTCAGGGGGAGCCCTGCAAGGAAGGGGTCAGCAGGAGAGAGGGCCAGCAGAGGCTGCGGGCTTAGGCAGGGCTGGGAGGCCTGTGAGGAGCAGCTGTGGGAACTGGCCCGGCAGAGACACCAGGGGGAGGGTTGGTGTTCCAATCTGGGGTCCAAGCGAGGCTGGAAGTCATGAGTGGATTTGGTTTGCTCCTGCAGCTCCCTCTGGGCCAGAGGCGGCAGATGGTAGGCTCACCCCAGGGGTGGCTCATCTCATGGCTCCAAGAGCCCAGGTGGGGAGGCAGGGAGCACAGTGAGTTGACCTGGGGGTCTGTGAAGGGACATGCTGCAGCTGTATGACTGCGGCTGAAGTCGCTCAGTGGGTGAGGCTGTGGTGGGACCAGCAGGTGAAAGGCAGGGTCATAGGTCGGTAGAGGAATGGCCACGTTCAGAACTTCAGTGGGAGACAATTTGAGATGATGATGCTTCCTTGCACGGAACAGGCACTTAGAGGTTTAGAGGATATTACTGAATGAAGGATGGCAAGGGCCATGGTGTGGCCTGGCAGTAGCCAGTGTTCCCGTGGATGCCCCCGATCTGCTGCTTCATTCCTCGGGATTGAGAAGGAGTGGCCTTGGGAAAATGGGGACTGACAGGGAGAGGCCTTTTTCTCGGCAGGGGATGGCGTCTACCAGAGGGGAATGGATTTCATTTTGGAGAAGCTCAACCACGGGGACTGGGTGCACATCTTCCCAGAAGGTCAGTGGGGCTGGCAGGGTCGCAACTGTTTGAAAAAAACAACAAACATGGGTGGCACTGCCCCTTGCCCCTGCCTGGTGGCACCCAAAGCCCCACTTCTGTCCTCTGTCCGCTCTGAACAGGGAAAGTGAACATGAGCTCCGAGTTCCTGCGCTTCAAGTGGGGTAAGAGCTGCCGGCCCTCTCTGGCTGGGCAGCCTGTGGCAGACGGGGCAGCTGGGGGTGCTGGTACTAACAGGAAGGGGGCAGGTGCCGAGACAAGAGCTCGCCTTACACAGGGGCTGGCCCGGGGGGCTGGTTTTAACTGAGGGAGGGCAGCAGTGGCCCTGGTCGTAGCCGGCACTGAAACTCCACTTGCGCCAACGTTTCTGCCTCTCCCTGGGGCAGGAATTGGACGCCTGATTGCTGAATGTCATCTCAACCCTGTCATCCTGCCACTGTGGCATGTTGGTGAGCCTCCCTTTAGGGCCGGGGAGAGGGGCGAGACAGGGGCCTCGCTTGGTGGTGGTCGTGGGGTGGGGGGGTCCACCGGATGGCAGGGAGAGGGTGCCTAGGCCGCCTTGCTCCACCCTCCACCCGCTCCCTGGCCTTCTATCTGCTGTGCTGCAGGGATGAATGACGTCCTTCCTAACAGCCCGCCCTACTTCCCCCGCTTCGGACAGGTGGGTAGGGGCTGCGACCTTGTCTGTCTGTCTGTCTGCCGTCTGCCCTGGGCCTCCCACTCAACACTGCTGAGGCCAGATTCAGGGGAACTGAGTGGGACATAGAGAGGGACTTCCTGGCACCAAGGCCAGGAGAAGGAGAGTGAAGGAAGTAAGGTCTGGGGTGGGGACAGGATGACTAGAGCATGGACCCCAGGACTGGGATGGCCTGTGGACGTCCCTGCACCCGACCGCCTCATCATGAAGAGGGAGCCTAGACCCGATGGAGTACTCAGCAAGTTAGGGACAGGATTCGGCTTCTGGCTCCTTGGGGCCCTGGGGCCATGGGCAACCCCCTGTTCCTGTCACCCATTGGCGGCTGGCCTCCCCACAGAAAATCACCGTGCTGATCGGGAAGCCCTTCAGTGCCCTGCCTGTGCTGGAGCGGCTCCGGGCAGAGAACAAGTCAGCTGTGAGTTCCTCCCCCAGGCAGTTTTGTAGCTGTCCTAGCCCTTCCAGTGCGCTTGGCCTCTGGGGGACCCCAGGCAGGCTCCCTGAGGGCTGCAGACCAGCCGCTGTCCTTCCCCTCAGGTGGAGATGCGCAAAGCCCTGACTGACTTCATTCAGGAGGAATTCCAGCGCCTTAAGACCCAGGCAGAGCAGCTCCACAACCACCTGCAGCCTGGAAGATAGGCGGCACCCCACCCAGACCCTGCCCTAGCTTCCTCTGGGACTGGGGAAGGGTGGGGAGGCGGGCGTGGGGGGGAAGAGGCACTCTAAGACCCAAGCCCCAGCTGCTGGGCTCTCAGTACTGTCTTTGGCTTCTCGTGCCGCCCAGAGCTGGGCTGGGGGATGGACTGATGCTTTGAGCTCAGATACGGTTTTTCAGACAGATTTTTCCAGCATCCTCAATGGGTGCTGTCTCCTAGTTGGTGAGCGTTCCAGCTCCTCTGCGGTTCTCCAGTTGAAGGAGGTCTCTGATGCTCCTCCCACCTGGCCAGGCAGGGAGGGGGAAATTTCAGCAGGGGCTTCCTTCCTTCTTGCCTTCAAGGTGTTCTCTCTCAGGGTTGGTGCCTGGAGGGAGGTTAGTTGAAGGGGCGGGTGGCCAGGCCAGAGCTTCAAGGGGCCCACCAGGCCCGTGGCCTGGCCCCCCGCCTGCTCTGATCCAGGAGCTGCTCACCATTTGCTCAGGGATGGCCATCAGCCATGTCTTCCTTCCGCCCAGGCTCCCTCACAGGCATGGGAGCTGCAGGCAGAAGAGCAGCCCTTTTCCTGAAGTGTAGCCCAGCCAAACGGAGCCTGCGGCAAGGGCCAGAGACCTGGCCATTTGCCCCTGTGCTGGGGCCCACCAACTTCTCCATCCTTCCCACCTCCCTGGCATGACTTGAATCCCTGGGGGCCTAGGTTTTCATGTTTTATAAACAATAAAGCATCTGTGTTGTGCTCTTTGACCTCTGGCCTCTCTATAGGGGTGCGGATGGGATGTGACCCACTGGACAGGAAGGCTGGGCCCTTAGAACTCTGGGTGCATCAGGAGCACTTGATAGGGGAGGGTGTAGCTCTGTGGTGGAGCATATCCCTAGTGTGCATGAGGTCCTGGGTTCAATCCCCAGTACCTCCTCTAAAATAATAAATAAATAAATAAACCTAATTACCTCCCCCCACAAAAAAAAAGTAGAAAGAAAGAAAAGATGGAATCACAAAGATGATTAGGACTGCAACTGCATGTGAATCTAGAATTATTTCAAAATAAAGGTTTTTTAAAATGACCAGAAGGGAGAAAAATCACTTGGGGGAAAAAAAAGAAACCCTTGTAAATAAATACAGGAAAAAAACAGACTTTGCCAGTTAGCATTTATTGGTCCAAATGTAACATCCCTTTTTATGTATATATCCATTTGGACAAACATCAACTCTGTTTCATGGAGAGTTCTGATTTTATACCCTAAATAAATGTTCCATTTTTCCATGTTCTTGTATTTTTACAACCTTCTCTCCATAAATATTATATAAATATTGCCTGATAGGTTTTAAAACTTCACATAAATGACATTTATAAAGTGTATAAAGGCAATTTGGTATTTTTTTAACATTTTTTATTGATTTATAATCATTTTACAATGTTGTGTCAAATTCCAGTGTTCAGCACAATTTTTCAGTCATACATGGACATATACACACTCATTGTCACATTTTTTTCTCTGTTAGTTACCATAATGTTTTGTGTAAATTTCCCTGTGCTATACAGTATAATCTTGTTTATCTATTCTACAATTTTGAAATCCCAGTCTATCCCTTCCCACCCTCCGCCCCCCTGGCAACCACAAGTCTATTCTCTGTCTATAAGTCTATTTCTGTCCTGTATTTACACTTTGTTTTTGTTTGTTTGTTTTTTGTTTTTTTTTTTTTTAGATTCCACATATGAGCGATCTCATACGGTATTTTTCTTTCTCTTTCTGGCTTACTTCGCTTAGAATGACATTCTCCAGGAGCATCCATGTTGCTGCAAATGGCATTATGTTGTTGGGTTTTATGGCTGAGTAGTATTCCATTGTATAAATATACCACATCTTCTTTATGCAGTCACCTATTGATGGACATTTTAGGCTTTTTTTCCTAAGTTTTTTGGGCTACTGTAAATAGTGCTGCTATGAACATTGGGGTGCAGGTGTCATCCTGAAGTAGGGTTCCTTCTGGATACAAGCCCAGGTGGTATTTTTTTAATATAGACTATTTTAGAGAAGTTTTAGGTTTGCAGCAAAATGTGGCTTATCCTGGGTTTGCAAAATCTACAAATGCCATTCACCATATTAACTGATTAAAGGAGAAAACCTATACAATTATTTCAATACATGCAGAAGAAGCCTCTGAGAAAATATTCATAATTTTAAAAATTCTGAGCAAAGTATGAATAGAGGGGAACTTTCTTAGTCTGATAGAGTCTATCCACACACAAAAAAACCTTTGTTAATCTGAAGGAGACTACAAAAAACCTGGAGTAATTACTATTTTTGATGTTAAAGCTTTGGAAACATTCTGTTCAAAATCTGGAACAAAATGAGGATGTCGACTATCACTGTTGTACTAGTGGTACTAGAGCAGTAAAACAAGGAAAGGAAATCAAAGTCACAATAATTGTAAAGAAAGAAAACCGGCATTATTTGCTGCTGAGAGGACTGTCTACATAAAAAACCCAAAAGAATTTACAGACACATTTTTGGAAACAAGGGTTTAGAAAGTTTTCTAGCTACAAGATCAATATGTGCAAAAAATCAACTGCATTTCTATACATACACCAGCAACAGAAAGTTAGAAAATATAATTTTAAACAAGACACCATTTACAAAAGTTACAAGATACCTAGGAATCAATCTAACAAAAGATGTGAAAGACCTATATTAGGAAAATCGTAACACTTTATTAAAAGACATTAAGGAATACCTAAGTAAATGGAGAGTGATCCCATGCTCATTAATAGGAAGACTTGATACAATAAGTCAGTTCTCCACAATTTACAGATTAATGTAATTCCAGTCAAAAGCTAACCAGGGTTCAAATATTCAGATATTTACACACGCATGTTTATAGCAGCATTACTTACAATAGCCGAAAGGTGGAAACAACTCAAGTGTCCACCAACAGATGAATGGAGAAAGGAATGGTCACATGATGGAATGTTATTTACCACAAAAAGAAATTCTGACACATGCTACAACATGCATGAACCTTGAAACTATTATGCTAAGTGAAATGTGCCAAACACAAAAGGCCACATGTCGTATGATTCCATTTGTATGAAGTCCCTAGAGCAGTCAAATTCATAGAGACAGAATAGAATGGTGGGTGCCAGGGGCTAGGGGAGGAGGGAATGGGGAGTTAGTGTTTATTGCGGACAGTTTTAGTTTAAGATGATGACAGTGTTCTACCAATGGATGGTGGTGATGGTTGCACAACAATGTGAATGTGCTTAATGCCATGCAACTGTACACTTAAAAATAGTTAAAACGGTAAATTTTAATATTATGAATATTTACAATTTTTAAAAATAAAAATTGCTAAAATGATAAATTTTATGTTATTTATATCTTACCACTACTTTAAATAATCTAATCAGGTTTGAAATGATCTGATCAATCTAACAAATTAATTCTACAATTTATATGGGGGAATGGGTATAGCTCAGTGGTAGAGCGCATGCTTAGCATGCATGAGGTCCTGGGTTCAATTCCCAGTACCTCCATTAAAATAAATAAACAAATAAACCGAATTATTCCCCCCTGGGAAAATCTGTTTAAAAACCAGTAAGATAAAATTTACATGGAAGCACAATAGCCCAAGAACAGCCTCTTGAAAATGAAGAATAAGGTGGGAAGATTTGCCTTACTGGGTATCAAGGTTTATTATGAAGCTACAGTAATTCAGACAGTGTGGTACTGGATACACAAATTGACTAGGAGAATGAAATAGTGAGCCCCCCAAATGACCCACAGTTACATGGACACTTACTATACAAGAAAATTGGTATTTCAAGACAGTGAGTAAAGGATATTCATCTTAAATGGTACTGGGACAATTGCAGGTCCCTATGGAAAAGAAAAAAAGAAACTTGACCAAATGATGTGACTGACAAGGGGTTAATTTCTAAAATATACAAACAGCTCATACAGCTCAATATAAAAAAAAAACAAACAATCCTATCAAAAAATGGTCAGAAGACCTAAACAGACATTTTCCCAAAGAAGACATCCAGATGGCCAACAGGCATATGAAAAATGCTCAACATCGCTAATTATTAGAGAAATGCAAATCAAAACCACAATGAGGTATCCCCTCTTATCAGTCAGAATGGCCATCATTAAAAAGAGTACAAGTAATGAATGTTGGAGATGGTGTGGAGAAAAGGGAACCCTGCTACACTGCTGGTGGGAATGTAAACTGGTGCAGCCTGTGGAAAACAGTATGGAGGTTCCTCAAAAACCTAAAAATAGTTACTATATGATTCAGCAATCCTACTCCCAGGCATATATCTGGAGAAAACTCTAATTTGAAAAGATACATGCACCCCAATGTTCATAGCAGCACTATTTACAACAGGCAAGTCATGGAAGCAACCTAAACATCCACCGATAGATGAGTGGATAAGGAAGATGTGATACGTGTGTGTGTGTGTGTGTGTGTGTGTCTATATATATATATATATATATATATAAACACACACA